CAAGCTTCCTGGGCCCAAGTCTTCCTGTGCATTTAAGGCTGCAGGAACTGGGCATCAGCTTCCCCTCTCCGGTCTGTTTGTCTTTGAATCTGAAGTTGGGCAGCCACCTTCTTTACAGGGTAACCACCTTCCAGGTCACCTCCTTTTGGGTCACCTGTCTAGAAGCCTTGTGCTTATGTGAGTCTACACATGTGGCAGAGGTCAGCCAGAGGTCAACCTCAGATGGTGTTCCTCAGTTGCTATCGGCACTCCGAGAGGCAGAGGCAGGAGGATCTCTGTGAGTTCGAGGCCAGCCTGGGCTACAGAGCAAGATCCAGGAAAGACGCAAAGCTACACAGAGAAATCTTGTCTCAGGAAAAAAAACAAAAAAACAAAAACTTAAAACATGTATTTAGCATGTGGGTGCTACAGAGCTGGTATGGTCGTCAGAGGACACTAGGGAGCTGATGTCTTCTTCCTACCACAGGGTGGTGGGGGGAGTGAGGACAGAACTTAAATTGTCATGCTTACCCAGCAAACACTTTGCCCCCTGAACAGCTTGTCAGTTTCTATACTGTATAACAATTTTGATACTACTGTGTGTGTGTGATGTGTGGGGTTGTGCTAAGGGTACATGTGGAGGTCAGGACCACCAGGAGTCAGTCCTCTCCCCCTGCCATGTGGGTCCTGGGGATTGACTCAGGGCATCAGGCCTGTGAGCTGAGACATCTGACTTTTTTGTTGTTGGTGGTTGAGACTGGGTCTTACTATGTAGCCTTGGCTGGCCCAGAACTCAGAGATCTTCCTACCTCTCCCTCCTGAGTGCCAAGACATGGCTCAGATGTTAATAGCACTTGCTGTTCTTGCAGAGGACCTGAGTTCAGTTCTTAGTCCTCACACCAGGTCACTCAGAATCCTCTAATTCCCAGCTCCAGAACCAATGCCTCTCTTCTCCAGGCCCTCGATCACACACAAGCCCACAAGCAGACACACCCACCCATATGTAATTAAAACCCAATCTTTAAAGGCTTGTGCTACCATGCCCAGCCCAATCATGCTTTAGAGACAGGGTCTCTCACTGGCCTGGAACTAGCCAAAGGCTAGGCTGTCTGGTGGCAAGCCCAGGATCTGCTTGTGTCTGCCTCCTCAGCACTGGGTTCTGGGGATCAAGCCAAGGTCCTCACGTTTGGGTGCAAGGACTTTCCTGACTGAACTATCTCCCCAGCCATCTCTATGGTTTTCACTCTGATGGCTGTAAACACAAAGCCAGGTGTCTGTCTGGTCCACTGATATGCTGTGTACCCAGAACCGTCCAATTATGCAATATTATTATTGTTATTATTTGTTTGTTTTCTGAGGGAGGGTTTCTCTGTATATCTCTGGCTGTCTTGGAACTCGCTCTGTAGACCAGGCTGGACTTGAACTCAGAGATTAGCCTGCCTCTGCCTCCCAAGTGCTGGATTAAAGGCGTGCACAGGTGTGCACCACCGCCACCTGGCCAACTATGTTTTAAGTAGTGTTAGACCTCTGTAATTCTGCCACTTAGAAGGCTGGGGCAGGAGGATGGATTCGAGAGGATCCTGGGCTGTACGGTTTGTCTCAAACACCACCACTGGTTGGGTGGGATGGCGCGCGCACGCACGCGCGCACACACACACACACACACACACACACACACACACACACACACACCCTAGCACTTGGGGCAGAGGCAAGCAGTCTCCAAGCATGAGGCCAGCCTGGTTCACACAGTAACATCCATGCTCCGGAAATATACACATACACATACACCAACACACACACACACACACACACAAACACACACACACCAGACAAATAAAAACAATAATACAAACAAAAACAAAGACAAAAAAAAAAAACCTAACCACCTACGACCAAGAACTGAGAATGTACCTCAGTTGGTAGAGCATTTTGTCTAATACGCACAAAGCCCTGGGTCTGATCCCCAGAACCAGATGAATGAGGTGTGGTAGTGCACACCTGTAATCCCAGCACCTGGGACACAAAGGCAGGGGATCAGAAATTCAAGGCCACTCTCAGACTCATAGCAAGTTCAAGGTCAGCCTGGTACATGAGACCCACCACTCCCAATCACTACTAACTCTGCCCTCACAAAGAAAACAACAGAAGAACAGTTTGAAAAACTGACCAAACCATACACCATAGGGCCATCAAGATCTCTTCTGAGTGCCTTAGCCCCAAATCCCACTTCCCTTTCTGGCACTGGGACCTCATAACCCAAGAAAGCACAGAGCCAGGGATCCACACCGGCTGCTTTATTGACAGGCTTGTGAGTGACAGCTGTCCCGGAACCAGCCCCTACCTTTTCTACAAAAGTAAATGAGCAGGCAAACGGGCTCCCCGGCAAAGCCCAGCCAAAGGACCTGGTTGGTCTGTAGCCTTGACTCCCAGGCCACAGGCTGGGAAGGATGGGAAGTCCAGTTCCCCTGGGCAAGGCGCTGGTGAGGTGGCTGAGGAGACTGGAGGTCCCGGACACAGCTATTCCTTGCCTGAGATGTCAGGAAACTGTCACCAGAGGAGCCAAGAACCTAAAGCTTGGGGCCGGGGTGTGGGCTGAAGAAGGGCAACTCAAAGGCTTTCGGAGTCATTTGAGGCACAGGTTCTCAAGTTTGAGGCCACCCTGGGCAGCATGGTGAGACAGACCAGCAACCCCTCACCTCCACCCAACCTACAAGCAGTCACAGCCACCATTACAGCCACGTCTGCAGCCACACACACACACGTCTCCTCATTCACATCCACTCCACACACAGGGGGAGGGCTGTCACGGTCCTGGACCTACACCCTGGAATGTCTCTGGACTGGTACCCAAGTCGGGACTGCTGAGGGGGCAGGTCCTTGATATTGCTACTGATTGGCTGCCTCGCAGGCGTCTATCCAATCGCTGTACACATCCACTGGCTCTGACAGATCTGAAACACGGGTCAAGGATGATTTGTGGCCATGAAGCCCGCCCCCTCCTGAGCACATTTCTGCTCTGACAGGTCCAATCAGACCCCTGCCTGCCCTGGGCCTTGCACTTAGTGTTACGTCAGTAGACAAGGTCCATTCCCCCAGGTGGCAGTGGCTCCAGAACTGGCCATGGGGCCAGAGCAGCAGGAGTGAGGACAGTTCCGTGTCTTTGGTTACCAGCCCTTGAGCAGGTCAGGACAGCCCGACTCCCACCCACTTCCCCCATTCTCCGGGGAGCAGATGACTTTCTAAGGATACATGTGATGGGCGTCTGGAATTCCTCTAGGCACACGGTACAGGAGATGACTCCAGTGTTGCGAGCTCGGTCCCTGCATGGCAAGGTGGAAGGATGCATGAGAAACACACCCTGAGCCTGTCCTGTGGGGGCAACCCTGCCAGCAGGAAGGCCCGGGGGAACAAGGTGGGACAGAGGCCTGGAGGCCACGGCGGTAGGCTGGCCCACCCTAACCACCCACTTACATTTTCACGTCACAGGACTTCTCATGGTTGCAGAAGGGGCAAGTGAACTGGGTCTCCAGGGTACCTGTCATCTTCTTCTTGGGGGGTGGCTTCCGTTTAGACTTCCTTCGTCCCATGGCTACAGGGGGATGAAACCTGCGGGGCAGAGGAGGACAGGGGTCAGAAGCTGGTGGAAGCCGGCCACTCTCTACCTCCATTCTCTGGAGGCAGGCTGGAGGACCAGCAGTGGCCTGTGGAGAAAGGAAGATGTACACTAGGACATGCAGGCTTCTACCCGAGGAACCCAGGCTCCTGACCTTAGGCACAGCCGTCCGTCCCTGTGTACACTCTGGGCTGAGAACAGCCTTTAACCTTGGTTTCTCAACTTACTGTGTGACTCTAGGTAGGTCACTTAAGATCTCTGTGCTCAGAAGGTAGGGGTGGATGGCCGACTGCAGAAAAAACAGGACAGAAGGAAGGTACTCAGCACAGTGAGCGCAGCCTGTTGAGGGAGGCAGGAGTTGAGTCCAGAGAGCGACTAACGATGAAGTCAAGCTGAGGACTAGTCCAGAACCTACACAAAAGCCAGGTACAGCGCTTCCTATCTGTGACCCGGCACTCTGCGTGGGGACGACAGGCAGAAACAGGAGAATCGTTCGGGAGCTTGTGGGCTAGGGACAAAACATGATGGAAGGTGTGGACAGACTCCCCAAACACTAGCCCTCTGACCTCCACATGCACGACCTAGGACGTGTGCCTCCCCTGATCCCGACTACAAAGTCTCAAGCAGGACTGGGTTTTTTGGGGAGTGGGGGGTGGGATGGGAGTAGGGTGGCAGTGAGTGAGACAGGAAACAAACCAACTGAACAAGTGACAGTCCTGTTTGGGTGGTGCCCAGAGCTGGGATGGGGACGCAGAGGTTGGGAGGAAAGGCCCAGATAACTGACAAATGTGTGGGTCTTTCGCTCTCTTAAAAAAGAAAGAAAGAAAGAAAGAAAGAGAGAGAGAGAGAGAGAGAGAGAGAGAGAGAGAAAGAAAGAAAGAAAGAAAGAAAGAAAGAAAGAAAGAAAGAAAGAAAGAAAGAAAGAAAGAAAGAAAGAAAGAAAGGCAGTGTCGGCATGCACCTAACACCCAGGAGGCAGAGGCAGGCCGGTCATGGTCTAAGGAGTGAATTCTAGGAAAGCCAGGGCTACATTGAGAGCTCTTGTCTCAACCCCCACCTCACAAAGAAACAGAAAAAAACAAAACCAAACATGGTCTCCATTCTCAAATATCAGAGGATGACTTTGACCCCTGATCCTCCCAAGAGCTCAGACAGTAGGCATGAGCTGCCTGCCACGCCCGGGTTTCCCGACACTGTCATGTTAATACTGATTATTGACTTGACAGACTCTAGATCACTTGTGGGAGTCTCGGCACGCCAACTATCTTGATTAGGTTAATGACATGGGAAGACCCACCCTAAAGGAAGGCAGTGCCATTTTTTTGGGCTTCGGGATTATTGAAAGCTGGAGACCATTTTGGGCAACAAAATAAGTTCAAAGTTACCATCTTAAAAAAAAGGCAAACTCCCTTTGGCAGCACATACACTAAAATTGGAACGATACAGAGAAGATTAGCATGGCCCCTGCGAATTTTTAAGACACACAAATTCAAAAGGCAAAACATCTATATATATATATAAACTACAATAAAATTTTAAAGATCTGTGTTAATACATTTTTTTGGTTTTTTTGTCTGTTTGTTTGTTTTTGGAGACAGGGTTCCTCTGTGTATCCCAGGCTGTCCTGGAACTCAGAGAGCCGCAATCAGCCTGGTTCTGCCCCCTGAGTTCTGGGATTAAAGATATGTACCACGACTGCCAGGTAACGTGAAAACTGGGTGAATTCAGCTGGCAGTAGTCTAGCGTATAGAAGGTTCTAGGGTAGTGGTCCTCAACCTGTGGGTCTCAGGGTTGCATATCAGATATTTACATTATGATTCGTAGCAGTAGCAAAATTATAGTCATGAGTCAGCAACGAAATAATTCCATGGTTGGGGTCCCCACAGCATGAGGAACTGTACTAAAGGGTCGCAGCACTGGGAAGGGCGGGAACCACTGCTCTAGGGGCTGTGGTGCCCAACCCATTGCTTTCAAGATTCAGTTCCTGGGGCTTCATTGAGCAGCACTGGCACACTCCGGAATCCTAGCACCAAAGTGGCAGAAGAAGGAGGATTGCCACATGTTCAGCCAGCCTGAGCTACTCAGTACAGCAGACCAACACGGAACAACAAAACCAAACCATGCATGTTGGCTTGGAATGCAACCCCAGCACTTGGTAGGCTGAGGCAGGATGTTGCCATGAGTTGGAGGCCACAGACTGTCTCACAAATCCAAAACAATGGGGCTGACCCAGGTTCAATTCCCAGCACCCACATGGTGGCTCACAACTGCAACTCCAGTTCCAGGGGATCTGATGCCTTCTCTAGCTTCCTAGGACACTGCACGCGTGTGGTGCATCCATACACATAAGATAAAAACAAATGAATATTCAAAAGATCTGTATTAATAGTTACAGATGACAGGCGCTCTCTCTTTCTCTCTCTCTCTTTGTTTTTCGAGACAGGATTTCTCTGTGTAGCTTTGCGCCTTTCCTGGATCTCACTCTGTAGACCAGGCTGGGCTGGAACTCACAGAGATCCGCCTGCCTCTGCCTCCTGAGTGTCGGGATTAAAGGAGTGTGGGGATTAAAGGAGTGTGGGGATTAAAGGAGTGTGGGGATTAAAGGAGTGTGGGGATTAAAGGAGTGTGGGGATTAAAG